TTACTTGCAAGCATGATGAAATACGCGATTTTCGGGTCAAATACCTGCAAGCGGCAACCCTGCATTTAGTTGAAATGTGACGGCCATATGCGCATGCGCACGAGTGCCCGCGTATTTGGTTTTGCAATTATTATATATAATTATTATTACCTATAGGTATATTAAATATTAATAACTGATATTAATTAAAAAATGTACTTTTTTATTTTCCGTTTAATATTTAATAAAAATCTTTAATTAATATTCCTTTAATGTTATGTTTCAGCGCCGTAGCTACAATGGTTCCGTGGGTTCGGTGGAACCAGGCCCGCTAGCTCAAGGGGCCCGCGGCCAGCGATTGGAATAATTTTTTTTTTCAAATATTTGGATTAATTTTTTTAAATATATTTCAACATTCACAGGGTATTTCTTTATAATAATGGCTTAAGGCTTAGTAAGTAGTAAAAGACCACCAATAATAATAATAATAATAATAATAATAATAATTTTTGCTTGAATCATGTAAAGGCGAGTCAAAATTAAAACTTAAAAAACTATCAACAACCCGTTGGTCTTCACGCAATGATGCAATAAAGCCCTACGTTTTAGGTATCTTGATGTTCTTAAGGCCTTGTCAAAAATTATTTTAACATCTAATAATAAGGCTGAAATAGACGACTCGAAAGGATTTAAAAGTACATTGGAGGACTTTGAAACAGTGTTTTTGATTATTTTACAATCTAACGTTTTAAATCGCATAGACACAGTATCAAAACTCTTACAAAATCAGCAGCAAGATATCCAAAAATCTAGTAAACTTTTAAAAAATGTGTTAAATGACATAAGCAAACTTCGGAATGAATTTTTAGATATAAAAAAGAGGCCAATATTACATCAAGCAAATGGGGTATAATTCCAGAATTTTGCCAAAAACGTATTCGCAAACGTTTTTTTGATGAAGTTGCAAATGACTTTGTTTTTTAAACTGCTGAAGATACTTAGAGTTGAAGTTTTTTTTAAGACCCTAGATATTATATCAGACAGTTACAAAGTAAAACAATTAGTTTACATCAAATAGCCTCTAACTTCAGTATTTTGGAAACAGAAGTTCTGTTAAATTCTACTGATACAGAAGTACCTATACCAAATGGCGGAAAACATTCGTGAAATATATGAAGATGATATTTTAGACATCCCTATCAATTAATAGCTTTTCAAAAATGTTTTTCTGACGAACTAAAAAATATTAACTATGTTTTCTATCCCTTTCTATTCCTGTGACGGTTGCATCGGCAGAACGATCGTTCTCAAAACTTAAGTTAATAAAAACGTATTTAAGGAACTCCATGAGTCTATATCGATTATCGTCTTTGGCAATGATCTTTATTAAAAATACAGTTGCCCGCTCCATAGATTTTCAAGGAATTATTACAAAATTTTCCGATGCTAAATCTAGGAAAGTAGCTTTTTAATGGACACACTTTTATTTTTTATGCCCTATATTATTATAAATAGTTTTATTAGTTTTGGTTTATTTTTCTTATGTATATTTTATATACTAAAAGTTTATAGACAAAATATAGTCTTTTATTTTTTCTTCACTATTAAAGCCGTAGATTTAAGAGGGTATAAAGGTTATTATGTTCCTCCCAAATATAACATAATAGTTATTTATGTATTAAGGGCATAATAAGGTTTTTATGGTCCGAGGCGCTATTTCGAGCCCGAGCGCGTTAGCGCGAGGGCTAGAAAAGCGTCGTAGGACCATAAAAACCAGTTATGCCAGCAATGCATACAAAACTTTATGCACGATTAATATATTATTATTTTTAATACCTATATTATTGGTTTTAAAGACGTTTACGTCAAAGAATTTTTGTTATACTTGTCATATTATAATGTCAACTGACATCAGTCAGTTTTAAAGTTTAAAGATAAATGAAATTGAGGAATTCCTCAATTTCATTTATCTTTAAACTTTAAAACTGACTGATGTCAGTTGACATTATAATATGACAAGTATAACAAAAATTCTTTGACGTAAACGTCTTTAAAAACAATAATATAGCTTAAGCAGCTGAAAAGGCGAAAAATTGCGGCCTGCTGCCGGTAAAATCAAAATCTTTATACGAAAAAACTTACTTCGAATATATCAAATGGTGTAACATTGTTGTTTTTAATTTTTGACGTTTCATTATAGCCCGCTGGGCCATAATAACGCCCGCGGGCTATAAAAAGACGTTTACGTCAAAGAATTTTTGTTATAATTGTCATATTATAATGTCATCGTGCATAAAAAATATTAATTAGTACAAAATAAAAAAACACGTAGAGGCCCGTGGGTATAGCCTGGAACCCGGGCCCGTTGGGTTGTTGCTACGGCGCTGTTATGTTTTCTTTTTCTTATTTCGAATTCGGTCTTCAAATTTATTTTGATAGGGTAGGTATACCTTCCCCATCAAACAGAGGTATAGCTAACCTATCAAAATAAATTTAAAGATCTTTAATTAAACGTGCTAACAGATCTGTATAAAATCTTGGAGATTCACGGCGTGCGTCCGGTGTGAATTAAATGTGCATAAGAAATGTTAGGGGGCATCCATTAATTACGTGAGTTGTTTAGGGGGGGAGGGGGTCGAGCCAAACCCCACCCAATCTCACGTGGGGGGAGGGTGGTCTCGGCAAATATCACGTAATTTTTGAAAAAAATTAAACAGTGTAAAATGGCGAGAAAACTGGGTTAAATTAAGTAAACAATTATAACAATTGTTTTTTTTAATAAATCTAATGGAATCAATCACAGATTAACTTATTTACATTAAAACAATGCATTTTCCCAAGGGGAGGCGGGAGTCGAAAAATCGCCAAAATTGCCTCACATAATTAATGGATGACCCCTTATCTGTGAACTTACGTTGAATTCACGATGCACTTAATTTTAAAGATTCATGGCGTGCGCCCGGTGTGAATTTAATGTGCATTACGAATGTAATTTGGAAACTCACAGTGGATTCACTATTAATTAATTTTTAAAGATTCACGGCGTGCGCCCTATGTGAATTAAATGTGCATTACAAATGTTATCTGTGAACTCACGGTGAATTCACGATGCATTCAATTTTGAAGATTCACGGCGTGCGCCCGGTAGGAGTTTAATGTGCATTCAGGAATGTAATTTGGAAACTCACAGTGGATTCACAATGCATTCATTTTTAAAGATTCAGGGCGTGCGCCCGGCATGAATTATATGTGTATTAAGAATATTATCTGGGAACTCACAGTGAATTCACGATGAATTCATTTTTAAAGATTCACGGCGTGCGCCCTATGTGAATTAAATGTGCATTACAAATGTTATCTGTGAACTCACGGTGAATTCACGATGCATTCAATTTTGAAGATTCACGGCGTGCGCCCGGTGTGAGTTTAATGTGCATTCACGAATGTTATCTGGGAATATTAATGAATTGTATTGTCATATTAATAAATTTCCGCTTGTAACGAACCGTAATGGATCATGAACGATGGTTCGCTTTAAGCGATGTTTGTTATTTGCGAAAAAATTAACTAACTAGGACTAGGTTCGTAGATACTATTTGAGTTGGTTCGTTTTAACCGAAAGTTCGCTATACCTACCATGATTGTTAGACTGAAGCCACCACCCCGCCATGCTCCTATAGGAGCAGTGTATATATACACAGCGTTCTCGTAAATAATAGTAAATAAATAATACCTTTAAGGTAATACCTACCAAATCTACCTTACTAAACTTGGTAAAAATATATTTACAACCCCCTTAGTTAACTTAAATGATAGAAAAAGTAATTGTAGCTTACCTACGCTTTATTTAACACACTCACTACTCACACTCACTGCTCTTAAACCCAGGGTTGCCAACTGTAGTAAATAACAAAACCGTACCGGCGGCTAAAAAATGACCGTACTTTTCAAAACAGGACCGTACTTTCGCATTTTCACATATGACGTCAGAAAAACAAGCATAATTTTTAAAATATTTAATTTTGTAAAATTTGTTCACAAAACCATAAATAATATTTATTAAATATATAGATAAAATAAAAAATGTATTGAATGTATGAATTATAATTCATAATTATCATAATTCATAATCATCATTATCTGATAACTCTGCTTCATCAGATTTTGGGTATAATTTTGACTTGGTCATTCTACCAAGCATATCCTTTGTAACTTTAAAATTAATGCAATTCGTCTTCGAAATATATTCCCGACTTAGTAATAATCCGTTTAGAGTACCGGTGATTAAACGATTTCTTGATTTGGTTTTAATTGCATTGGTAATGCTAAAAATACGCTCACAAGATGCATTTGAGTGAGGCAATGATAAAATGTTTAATACAAATTCCGATAAATGTTTAAATTTAAATTCACCCATTTCTGTTTGAAATTTATATAGCTTAGCCCAAAAAACATCAATCTCATCATTTGTATCAAAAGTTTTATTAGGAAAAATATAATTAGGTAAAGAACGCCATTCGTCATCAATAAGTTGTCGAGTATCTTTTTCGAAAAAAATGTTTAATTCATTTAAAATTTCGCTTAAAGAAGGATAACTTTTTCTTACATTAAAAGAAATAGCATTTTTTGGTAAAAAAATATGTAATTTAGATAAAATGGGATCATTAAAATCAAATCGCGATTTAATTTCTTTGCAAAGAATTTTAAGAAATGATCTACAATTTTCGTAAAAATATGAAACTAAATCGCGATTATTTTGAATCTCAGCTTTTTTCAGATGATTTAATACTTCAACACCTAAATATAAGTTAGAATTTGGTAAAAATTGAGTTTCGTTTTCAGGGTTAATTTGAGATAGATCCGTTTGCCTAATGTATGAATTATTCATATAATATTGTAGTATTTCGGTATATTTTTCTTTAACTGCAGAAAATAGATTTGGTACTATAACCTTATCTGATTGAAAGTATTGGTTTAATGTATTAATTTTTGGCAATATAAAATTTAAAAAAAGAAAATACATTTTAATAAAAGGATCATTTAGACTTGAATGAATTTGTTCTGCAGCTAAAAGTCGCTCTTCCAAGTATTTTTTGTTGAAGAATAGTTGTAATGCTGGCCATTGTTCCAGAATTCTAGTGACTACTTGCCCCAATGAGAGCCACCGCGTCTGCGAGGGATGCAATATTTTATGAATTTCCACTTCAGCAAACTTCTGAAACTCTTTGTACTCAAACTGCCTTTTAGAGCTTGCCTAAAAATATTTAAATAAATAAATTTTTATTATTTCTTATAAACAACCTAATTAGGTATATATACCTACATTAAAAAATGTATACACATTACGCGCCAAATCCTCGCACGTTCTTGGCAAATTTTTACATGCCTGACTGCAGCATATGTGTAAAGAGTGACATATACATTTAAAAATTACTATTCCTGGGCACTGCTCTCTAAATCTAGAAGCAACAGAGTTGTATCGACCCATCATCATGTTGCATCCATCAGATGCAAAGCCAACAATATTGCATAAAGGAACCTTTCTCTGTACAAAGGTATTTATAACTAAATTGTACAAATGTTCTGCAGTGCCTTGACCTCTAGAGTCTTTATTTTCCTCAAACGTGGGGATATATTCCCACAGAGATGTACAAACTCTGTTTTCATTTGGATCAAAATATTTCACAACAATACATGCTGTTTTAGTCACAGCAATGTCTGTTGACTCATCTATTAAAACACTAAACTTCCTTTGTTTTAAGATATTTGTAAGATTATCTTTATAGCTATCACCAATAACATTTGTTATAATATTTTTGGTCTTTGTTCTTTTAAGAGCTAATTTAATAGCAATTTTTGAGTCTGGAAACATCTTTTGAAGTAAAGGTGTTAGGTGGTCCATTACACGGAAAGAAATGTTGTGTTCCGCAAAAAAAGCGCTAAGCATTATTTCGGCCTCTTTAACATTAACATCGTCAGTCGTTGAGTTTGAGGAACTAGCAAAATTGTACAAAGAGCTTGTACTTTGCTTTATGTTTGATAATTTTTTATGGTTGTTTGAAGTTAAGTGTTTCTTAACATTGCTTAACTCTGAAACAAACTCCTTGCTACAAAGAACACATTTAGCTTTATAATTATCTTCTACTGGTCGCAACCATGCTTGGTAATCTGGATTTTTAAGCCATTCCCGCCGAAATTTCTATATCAAATCAACAAACGTTTATAAAATTAAAAAATATTTAGTCCAAACCTATTTACCTGTTTCTTATGTCCGGATTTCAACTTTTTGCTAGGACAAACCTTGCTAGTAGTACTATCATCACTATCACTGGACATGTTTCAATCGTTTTTTAATAACAAATTATAACTTTACTTCAGAAATAAACGAACGCTGGGAATACCGCGAAACAAGTTTAACACTAGCGGCAGTTATTAGAAACTGGGAAGAAAGAAGTTATAATTTACAGAACACTACTATATGTAGATTAAAATTTAGCACCATCTCTAGGGCATTTAATCATTAAATGCCCTAGAGATGGCGCTACAGTCAGACAAAATCATAATATTTTTAAATCGCTTTAATTAAATAAAATTATGGAAAATTTAATAGTTTCTGTTTTGTTATTTTTTCCTTAAAATACCGTACTTTTGGGGTACGGTCCTTAGGTTGGACCGTAAACCGTAATTTAAATCAAAATACCGTAAAAGTACGGTCAGGACCGTACCATTGGCAACCCTGCTTAAACCTGTTAAATCCCAAATGACGCCGTTCTGGTGCGAGAGACGTTCTGTGATTGGTCCTCGAATCTTTTTAATCTCAAACCAAAATGAAATCTGCGCAGTTTGACAGCGTATAGGTTTGAGAGTTTCGCGCGCTCGATTTGAATGTGTCGCGGGTAAAAACTCGTAATTGTTAAACCTCAACACCACGAAAAGAGTCTCTAAACAAAACGAAGGTGAATTTAAGTGAGTTTACATCAGTGTATTAATCTAATTTGCCAATGTATTGTTTATCTGTATATTTAAATTATAGACATATTAGAGTTCATACGTCCTTATGATTTAAATGACGTGGTTGGCTTTAAAAGCAAAACTTGATGCAAATTTATAATTATTTAAAAATTTGAATAACTATATAAATTAAATATTTAATTATATTATATAATATAAATATAATGAAAGACAGATATATATAGGAAGTAAATAAATATTTATGAAGCATATAAGTAACTGAAAAAATATTAAAATAGCTGTAGGTACAATTGTACCTTAAGATATCGAAATAATAAAAATAACATTTTATAACCGTTTTCAACTTAACGTTTATTAAAAAAGACAATACATTGTGTAAACATAATATGATTAAGCAATATTTCCGCAAACGTGTATGGGACATATAATTGAACTTCTTATATTAACATCCTAAAAATAACATCATATAAACATGAATTGGGAAATGTTGCATCTGCCAATGTTCATGCGACATACAATTATACATGACATATTAATGTTTTAAAAACAACATCAAATGAACAAGAGACATGGAATGTTTTGTTGGCAAACGTTTCTAGGACTTCACTGTGATTGAACCAGATTGATGTAATTTGCTGGACATCGAAATTACGTTACTATAAAAATTAGAGCAAACGTTAAGTTGTGACACTCTGTATTAACGTTGGCCTACGTTAACTTAACATTCTTTGCTTAGTGGGAACTCTATAAAGAGGTTACCAGGAACAGGAAACTAACTCGGACGGAGATATTCAGAAATACACCAACAAGTACAGGTTCTAGCAGCGTACTAACACTTCTATAGAGGTATACCCCCATTCATGAATCCCAATTGAATGGGGTTATTACTAAAGCCCCGGTTGAGAAGGATTCCGGATTGTTCTTAGTTTTGGGTCAGTTCAATGTCCTCCAAAAACCAACTTTTACCCTCCTTGTCCCACTATCTAGCCTAAACTGGGCGTATGGCCCGACCCGGCGACAAAAATCCGGGAGTGGCCTTAACCATATCGGTATCGATCGACACTGTCATCCACGACCTCCTAGGGTAGATCTACCAGCCGGCGTAAAAACTTCGGATCCAACAAACACAGGTAATGCTGTGCAGTGGCGGGATACGTAGGAGAACGGAAAGGGGGTAAAATAACCCTGGGAGATTAGTGTAAGGTAATATCGATGGGGCCTTCCATACGTTCCCATACTCATACTGAAATAGCATTGGCAAATATCGCCTAGTAAGAAAACAATATCCCTAAAATAGTTCCCATCTTTATGAAATTAATAGGAGTTGAGAAATGCGAATATTCGTATTTTGCAATTCGCATGTCTACGCTAAAGAAGTATCGGGTTTTCGCAACGCGCGCGCCATCTGGTGGACTTCAAAAGCATTTAGTGAATTTAAGAATTGTCAACAATACATTTAAAGCATAAGAACTGTATCTACATCATTTTTAAATAATAGGTAGTCTTCACAAAAGAGAGAAATTCAGAAGTCTTACTCGACAAATTTTGTTCAATTGCACAGCTAAATCGCGCACGTTATTTGTGTTTTACGTTGCAAGGAAAAAACAAAAAAAAATGGTTTAGTAGGTACTCGATTTCGATTGATTATTCTTTATATCATTGATTAAGAAACTCAACGCTTAAATGCTTACATGATGAATTATTGTGTTTTTAATTGTAAATAAAATTCAAACACTAAATCGCTGCATTTTCATGTTTTGCCAAAGGATCCAATTCGGTAAGTACATTTGTTGGTGCAGAATTAACTAATGATAACTTTACCTAATATAATTTATATTTAACTTAAGTTTGGACATTTTTAAGAGTGAGTATGAGTATGAGTATAAGAGACGTATAACCAGCCCCATTTCCTCTTGACTCTCGAACCCCGTACAGGCCTATGTTTACTTACGCCGATTTTTGTTCTTCCCCAACAACTGCACGGCTTCACCCGTGTTTGCTGGGTGCGAATGTCCATTGCGTTCCGTACTGTCCCCTATTTGGGGCTCGAGAGCGAGAGGCGAATAGTTATAATAGCCGTTCCCGGGTTCGCGGAGCCTATGCTATACGCTCAGTGGGGTATGGATGAGGGACGGGAGGGAGTTGGTTTTTGGGGGACAATTAAACCGACTTAAAACTAAGTATACTCGTATACGCGGAATCCCCCTAGACCAGTCTGTTAGTATTACTCCAAACATTTGGGATTACTATTTGGAGTTGGGGAGTTGTTATTACGCTGCAGGGGTGTAGTTTCCTAGTCGAGGTCTTCGTCTTGTTCATTATTGTCATTGTCCGTGTCGGATAGTTCCTGAACTTGGTAAAGTGTGTCGGTTGTTTTTTTTATTTTATTTTTATTGTTGCTTAGTTGCTCCCAACTGGTCTTGTTAATTTGTGAAAAGTGCATGTTTTGTGCTAACTTGTCATGAAATGTGAAGCATGGTCTACCGACTTTTTTGTCTTTAAGATCTAGTTTAAGGGTGGCTTATAGTATGTTGTTGCGTTGTCTACGAGTGACGTGGACCCAGTATTTTAATTGGGCTACTATTAGATACCCTTTTGGTAATGGTTTTTCCCATTAGCAGGTCGCGGGGATGTTGTAGATGGTAGTCGGGTAAGTCTGTCGTTAGTAGTGTAATGATCTTCCGTTCAAGTTTGCGTATTTTTGTCTGTTTGCTTTAGTTAGCGCGCAGGTGTGCCGCTGGTACGATAATCGGCACACATGATAAACTCCCTCGCAAAGAAATAAGTGTTTACAGATTCCATGGATATTGATTAGAGTGCTTTTTTATGTTTTCTTAGATTATGTGTTATGTCTTAAGTGTCAAGTTTATTTGGTCTCGGTTTGTTATTCTTGAATTGTTTTGTTGACAGCTTTATTGCCCTGTTCAACTTTGGTGTGTGTCCGCGATCGGCTGTTTGGTTTTTTCTTGGAAATTGACTTTTTATTTTATTTGTTGCCGATGATTATTGTTTTTTTGTAGGGATTAGGCAATGTGCCTTGTTTAGTTTAATATTTTTAACAAATTTTTTATTTTCTAAAAATTCGATAATATTTTCAACCCTGCTTCTTTCACTTTTTTTATGATTAAATTATAATAATTATTGTAACATAATTATTACAATTATTGTAACTTAATTTTCCGAAAATTCGGTAATTTTATTTACCCAATTCGGTAATTTCAACTTTTACATCTGTCAACACTGCTTTTCAAACACAACCCTTGTTTATGTTATATTTTTGTCTTCTTGCTTGTTTGGTTTATTTATTTATTTATCTTACGCCTTTTTCGATGGTTGTTTATGCTTTGTCTGCTATGAGAAAATGAGGATGTTTATTTAAACTTACGGAAATGTTCTTATTCTTTTTTTAATTTTAGTTTTTGAGACAATAAAAAGAATTCTTAGTATTTTCTTTTTGCAACATTGTGAAATGCTTATATAAACATTGTGAAATGCTTTTATAAACATTTAGCGAATATACGGTAAGACATGCAATTGGAAAAATAACTTAGCTTGATTATTAGGTGCTGGGATTGATCCATTTCGCATGCCCCGCAAATGCTTTTATAAACATTTAGCGAATATACGGTAAGACATGCAATTGGAAAAATAACTTAGCTTGATGATTAGGTGCTGGGATTGATCCATTTCTCATGCCCCGCACCTGTGGTAGCCCAGTAAATTTCATTGGAACTGATCGTCTCACTCACACCTTTTAACCAGGTCCAACACTTGAGAATTTAATCCAGGGGGAGGTACCACACACAATTTGCACTCTTTTGCACTTGAAACAGTTATCACGTTTAGAATCGATTGATTTTTTATTATTTTACGGCGTTAACCAGTTATCACGTTACTATAGTATACGTATACGTTTGTATCGTATACGCTGCTTAGGAGAGATCTCTTTGAGCATATGCTTACACTTCAAGCGTAATTAGTAAAAAATATAATTATAATTATAATTTTTGCACAAACATAACCTTAAAATCAACCATTTTTATATTTGAGTTCTCTAAAAAACGCCGACAACTGCATTTTAAACAACAAAATATACCTACGAATTCATGGCAACATAATATATATCCCAGGCAGCATCCAATTCAGAAAGATTTCTGTACGAAGTCTGTTGAAAAACATCTTACCGAGGTCACAATATGACATCTTAGAGAAATCATTTTTAGGAGCTCAAGATTAAGAGTTCTTGATGAATTCATAAATGAGAAGTCAATTTTTTAACATCTTAAAGTATCTTTTTTTCTGACCTCTTATTGAAATCAAAATTAGAAGCTACTAAGACTTCAGTTATATGATATCTTACAGTATTCTCTTTTCCTACTTCTTACTGAAATCATATTATTAACTCTTTAAGACGTCATGACGTTGCAACATGGAGACGTCACATTTATGACATTTTAATGCGATTACTTTCTTCTCACCGCTGTAACTGCTTGTGTTTGATATAAGAAGCGGCGAAGTAGAATTTAGAGCGTGCTCCATACCAAACGGTCTTAGACCTAGGTAAACGCGGCTACCCGATACTGACGAGCTCCAAAAGAGCAAAACAGGCCGTCTATCGGTGCCGGTAAAGAGCACGCTTGAATTTAAACAAAAGTGAGACGAAGTAATCGCGATTCCAAAAATAAGCAAATAATAATAAAATCAATTTAACAAATTCGTTTGTTTTATGGTAATTAAACTTTACATGTGAAAATAAGCAACGATCCAGTATGTAATTTTTTTATCAGTACCCTAGTAGTACTTCTATATCCAAAACGGGAAATTCTAAAGAAGTATTTTTATAAGTTTATACAGTAGGACTCTTTAAAATGCTTAATTGCGAAGTCAAAGAAAAGAGTTCCTCAAGAGTTCTTTTTTGAGAAGTCTTGATTACTAACTTCTTAAAAACTTCTTTCTGATGTTGTTTTTGACGTCCAAATCATAAAATAGAGCTTCCCTGCTTAAAATACCCCATGGGATAGAGACCTATACAAAATAATCTATCGGGCGCTACCGGATTCAATATGTGCATTTGTCCATGGTTTTTTCCGGATACAGCCCGATAGAAAATGTATAGGAAATTACCTATAGGCACACCATAACTTTTACATTTTCCCTATTGAGACAGATAGCAAATAACTCAATGAAGGATATTTAGGGATATCCCTATAGAGCAACCATAAAACATTTGACAAAATTTTATTAAAACCTATGGGGTCCTATAGGGGAAAAACTAATTTCTACATTTATGTGTATTTTCCCCATTGAAACCGATAGCAAATAAATCAACGGTGGATATCCCTATAGAACAACCATAAATCTCAATTATGGGTCCTATACAAACCGATACACCCTATAGAAACACCATACATCCCGATACAAATATCTATCGGTTTGAACAGGGTCTCTATGGGCAGGGCCTATTTTTGACTTAGTGGGGCCCCAAGGCCCATGCAAAACTTCGCCCCCCATATCAATACCCTATATAACTTTTCAATAAGAATGTTTCTACTTACCTTTGACACCTTCAGGTTTATGATAAAAAAATTTAATTTTTAATTAATCAATTAGATAATTGTTCTAATAATAAATCTAAATAAATAAATAAATATTTATTAAAAAAAACATACCTACATTATTAATTATTTAGTAGGTACAAACAACTAAAAATATATTTAAACGATACTTAAACAAAATTTCTAACTGAAATTAATAACACAACAAAAAAATAAAAAAAACTCAGCTTCTAAGGAACAGCGAACAAAATAAATAATAATTAATAAAAATAAACAACTAATTAATTTTTTTTTACGTATTTTCATTTCCGAAAACTTTTCTAATTTATCTAGAATATCGCTTTCTACGTTTAGAATAGCCAACGATGAAACATTTTTTCGTTTAATGAGTTTCTTAGATAGGTTTTTACCCGTTTTAACGTAGAAAATGATCTCTCTCCAGATGCGTTACTAATAGGAATAGTTAAATATATACGGAACAATACCTTAACGTTAGAGAAGGTTGACAAAATATTGTTATCAATTAAAAATTTTAACATTTCCTGGGGGTCTTTAGAGGAAATATCATTTGATTTACAAAGTGCTTTAAATTGTATAATTTTATCCACTAAATCTTCAGTAGCATCCACATCCATATTGTAATATTTTTTATATTTTTTATACTTACATTAAATCTTTAATTTGAGGGTTCAACAAAAATTTCATTTACACAATCATACGCTTGAATTCTCATTTTTAATTCAAAAATCAATTTGTCACATATAGGAAAAAAACTATTTATTTTAAAGTTTTCAGCACCGCTTAAAGTAATGTCTTGTGCAGGGCCTTCATCAAAGAACTTGTTCCTCTTACGAACTCTTGAAATTTCATCCTTATAAACATTATTATTTGGCTGAATTTGTTTGGATTCCTCTTCAATTTTATCAAACTGTTCTCTAAAACTCTCGACAAATTCGATCAATCCGCTATAAAGTGTACAAGCCGCAGTTAGATTGGCTTGATTATTTTGTAGAGATTTACTTGTGGAGTTTATTCTGTCTAGGATTCTTTTCCAAATTGAGGTCATCAAAGCAAATTCAAATGTATTCATTTTGTTAAGTAAATCTCCAGCTTCTGTTCTGGTAGAGTTTTTTTGGTTTGCATCTTCATTTAGCTCTACTAACGCTGTTTTTATTTCACTAAAACCAAACGCAATAGATTTCATAGCATCAGCTCGTGCTGACCATCTTGTATCACATATTTTCTTAACCAATGGTAATTTAGTTTTTAAAAATAGTTATGGCTTTATTTTAAATTTAAATTGAAATGGTTTATAATTTTTTTCAAGGGCTTTTTACGGGCCCAATTTTCCTCCGGGCCCAAGGCCCGGGCCTTATGGGCCTTTAGGTAAAATAGGCCCTGTCTATGGGGTATTTTAAGCAGGGTTATGCAGACTTAATTAAGACGTCATAATGCTGTCTGGGATTATATAATAATTATATATTGTATAATTGTATATTATAATACATAATATAATGGTATTTTAACGTTGAGTGAAGTCTTTAAAGAATTCTTAATCAACGCTTTTAATAATGCTAAATGCTGTTTAAATTTAGACGACTTATTTGTTTGACGATTTTTACTGAATTGAAATGTTTACACTTTTCACGATAATCATTACTAAAATGTGTATTTATTGTATCTAATAGATACAAATTATGTTTACAGGGACTGTATAAAATTTATTTCTTCATTCGGATTATTGGAAAACCGATAAAAACTAAACCCAGGATTTTCTCTCGAAATACACCCAACAACAAAATAAATCGTGCCACGGTTTTTTTTTTTTGGTATTTTTTAACATTTTCTGGCTTTATTCTTAAAAACACTCGTTTGTAACACACGCGTTTGACAGCTGATTAACAAAAGTTGTACTTTTGTTACGATGATAACAGCCGAGTGGTGGCGCTACTAGCGATACTTCTTTAGCGTATATGAAACCGACTTACTATAGTAAGCGTTGAGGTTGTTTTATGGTCTCAAATTTTTACTTCCCCCAACAAGATCAATCATAAAAGAAAATATTTTAGAGGAACAATTATTATTTGCGAGAACCAGGAACCCGGACAGAAAACCGGATCGGAACCGGTATTTATTTGTGGACCGGAACCGTAACCGAACCCATATTATTTTTAAACGTAACGCTAGAGACCCAACCAGAAGCCTTTAAATTCAAAATCGGTTTTTTCTTAATTTATTTTTGCATTAATTTAAAAATATATACTTTGTTAAAAAAATCTATAAAATTAGATTTTGCAAAAAAATATTTGAGAACTGCGCGTCAAAATTAGGTATTATAAAATAATATATATTATTTTATAATACCTAATTTTGACGCGCAGTTCTCAAATATATTATTTTTGGATAACTTGTTTCAAATATGAATTTTCCAGTTTCACCAGATCAGAAGAAAAAGATAAAGGTAGACAGATGTTCAAGAATAAAAGTAAAGAGAAAGAGAATGAAGAGCCTAAAATTTAAGAACCTGATTTGAAAAAAAAAGAAGAGACAAAGTAATTTAATTAAATGTCAAAAAAAATTTACAAAAAAAGTTGGTAGGTACTTATTTTATCCTCATAACAAAATGTGAACAAAATTAAAAAATATCGAATAATATAATTTTCCAATTTTATATAAAAATGACCCAGGGGTGACCGCGGATATTTTAAACATTTCGTTTACCCCTGTATATTAGCTGAAGGCGTCTATTATATTGCAGCTGTCTATTTTTACTACTCTTTGGCTGTACTGTGTATACGACCTTTTGCATACAGCAGACCTGATTAAAACTTACACAATACCATTTAATAAACAATCATTACCAAACACTCTACTATCTTAATCTTGAAAAGAATGCATAGTCTGTATTTATAAATACCAATAGAGATACACTCACAGAAGCATTGATAAAATTCCTTAAAAACTTTGAGATAAGCGAAAATATCAAGAATTTGTTTGGCCGACTATTCCCCACTCCTATCAAGTACGCAGTATGGCGCCCCATCCGTGGCAGTCATGTTTTGGTTTTCTTGTGTGAATGTTTACGTGCTATTCGTGTAATTATAGCTAAAATATAAGTTTTTACAGTGCAATAATTGTATTACCAACAAAATATTATGTGTGACAGTGTTATACTATTGGAATTATAAGGATTACGTCTACTCAGTATGTGCATTTGACAGATAGCTTGCGTCCCTGAATTTCTCGTCATTTGTAGAAAGTACGTAGGTATTTTAAATTGACTTTTTTTAATTTTTATGTTTTTATTGAGTGTATTTTTGTATACAATTATTGTTATCTCACATATGATTTCTGGCTTATCTGTAAATCTTAGTCAAGAGTGTCACACCCAAGATCAAAACATAATAGGCCCTTGCTACTTGTTGACAAGTATAACCACATATACAACGCCTAAAGATGAAATTTGAGAAGATACATAGGTTTAAGTGGTACTTTAGTTCATATTTTTAGTTTTTGTGTCAACATAAGAAACGCTAAAGAATATACAGGGGCTTAACTTAAATCTTTTAAACACAAAAAACTGTTAAAGAAAAAACAGGTATTTTTTAAAGAACATTAAATTTTTATCAAATTTTAAAACTTTATTTACAAAAAAAAACATTGTTACTAATGGTAATGTTTTGCAAAAGATTTGTAGGTACCTACCTGTTTAAATTTAAAGAACAATTTGCATTGTTTTTATATCCTTGAATTTAAGATTACTGGATACATGAGAAAAAAACAAGTGAATCAGTATGCTTCCGTGAATTTTTTTAAAATAAATTTTATACAATAGGCACAACTTTGTAATGTGCTTTGTAAATGACATGGCAACACCAAACATTATGCTTTTATAAAGATTAAGGTATTAAAAAATAAGTTATTAATAGGGAGCTATCTCTCAAGGATGAATTTAAATTATAAAACTAGTTTTCATCAAATTTTTAGTAATTTTATTCCTAGTTACAGGTAGAACTGCTTTTGTTATCAAGTTTTTTTATTAAAATTAAATTGAAAAGGCAGCCACTGATAAATTCAAAAAAACAATAAAACCTGTGTGGTCAATTTTAGCTGACTGCTAACTAATGTCAAGCGGTTTTAACCTCACTTTTTCCCAACTTAATATTTTAATTAAATGATTGTCTATAAAAGTTTATAAACGAGTTGCATACTATACTTTATCTACTACTCATATTGCATAATATTGTTTTTTTTTCCGTGAATAATGATAAACATTATAAATTCCCTGCCTAACAACGGGAATAATGAACTCATTATTCACGTTGTAAGGCATCAGTGATTTGCCAATCTTAATATTTACTGTGATTTGAACCAATCGGGTTTTAAATTGGGAAAGGCGACTATAATAACATTTAAAATTGGTTAAAAGTGAGGTTAACCATTTGAAAGATTTGACCTATACAGGGTGTTATTTAAGTACGTGGCCAAACTTTAGTGGACGATTCTTTGATCTACTACTCATATTGCATAATATTGTTTTTTTTCCGTGAATAATGATAAACATTATAAATTCCCTGCCTAACAACGGGAATAATGAACTCATTATTCACGTTGTAAGGCATCAGTGATTTGCCAATCTTAATATTTACTGTGATTTGAACCAATCGGGTTTTAAATTGGGAAAGGCGACTATAATAACATTTAAAATTGGTTAAAAGTGAGGTTAACCATTTGAAAGATTTGACCTATACAGGGTGTTATTTAAGTACGTGGCCAAACTTTAGTGGACGATTCTTTGAGTGATTCTAAGACGAAAAGTTCATATAAACATAGGTCCGTAAATGCTCTGTTTTCAGCTTATAAAAATCATTTTTTCCCAAATATCTCAATAATCCTTCAGGGCCATTCCACGCGTAACGGATAGGACAGTTGCCGTATTTTTATTTACAAAATAATATTGTTCTATTATATTACCAATGTCAAATTTTTATAAATAATTCTAAACTAAAGCTGTTTAACAAGGTTTTTATTTGTAAAAATTAGGTATCGTGGTTGACTGTTTAATTCCTTAAAAACTAATATTTTAAAGCGTAACGGACGGGACTTTGTAATAGTCCCGCCCGTTACGCTTTAAATTATTAATTTTTAAGGAACTAAACAGTCAATCACGATACCTAATTTTGCCAAATAAAAACCTTGTTAAACAGCTTTTGTTTAGAACTATTTATAAAAATTTGACATTGGTAATATAATAGAACAATATTATTTTGTAAATAAAAACACGGCAACTGTCCTATCCGTTAAGCGTGGAATGGCCTTTCAGCCGATTTTGTTGAAATTTAATAGTGTTAAATAACACCCTGTATAATTATTTTTGAAAATCATTTAATTATCTACTTATTGGAGTAGATAAAGTATAGTATTACACTCGAGTTTATGCGCATTATTTACTCGAATGATTAAACTTTAAAAGGCTGGAGTTTTAATAAAAAAGTTGTATTTGAAATACCTCGTAAAATACCCTCGGAAATACCTATTTAAATTATTTTTATTAAATTAATTTAAGTAATTATCTCGGTAATTATATTAATTTTAAGGTTAACCAAAAACAATAATTGTAATAATTATTATGGAGCAGGCAATTATAATTGCCAAGTTTTTAAACTTAAATGCCTAATAATTCAAAAAACACTTTTTTTCATTCTATAGTAGGGTAAAGTGGGGGAATGGCGTCCACCTAAGGAAAATTAACCATAAAATAATTTCGAACCAATATTTCTACTTTTTGAAAATTGGAATAGAAATACTAAAGTCTAAAGATTATTTATGCATCAATTTAGAAACACAACTCGAATAGTTTTTCAAAAAAAAAATTCTTAGCAAAGTGCTTTTGGTCGTCATTTCCCACGTAACGGGGTAATTACGACCAAGTGCTGGGTAATCGCAACCAGGTATATATACTTATATATATTTGACTTGTGTTGCTATAAAAAATTTGACTTATGTTGCTATAAAAAATTATTGAATTCATAACCGAGTTCATAACAAACTAAAATTAACAGGTATATATTCTATAATAATAACAAAACAAAAGGAAATATTAAATTAAATATTCTCATAATATGTAGTTATGATAAATATTTTATAATTCTAAACGACGACGTTTAGAGGCCTTTTTGACACAAAAGTCGCATGTACAGTTTTTTGCAGAATCGAGACCTGTGCATTCTTTGTGACCCCAATGTCCACATACAGTGCATCGAAACCAAAGATCATCTTTGCCGTATTCTTCAATTATAGAGCACAGGTTTGATTTTGAATTAGAATCGCTTAAGTCGTCATCACTTTCATCATCACAGATATTTTTGCTGTTAATGTGATTGATAAAGATTCACAGTCGGATAAGTATAGTAACATTTTCTTTTAAAGGTTGAAGATGTTTTTGATTTCTGTCCTTTTTTTAATTTTAGCTGTTTTTTGTTGTCTTTTTCAATGAGCATTATTTTTATTGTAAATATTTCGGAATGTTGTTTGCGAGATAAATTATTCTTTGTTGAATTTTTAGCAGTGGTCTCGACTGGAATTCGTGAAAAAAACTAAATGAAAACTCATTTGTATTGCTTTTTAAAAGCCTGGGTTGTTCATTTAAAGTGCGAGGTTGCTCACTTAAAGGCCCATGTTGCTCATTTGAAAGCCCAGGTAGTTCATTTGAAGGTCCGGGTTGCTCATTTCCATCTCTGGTGGCACATCATAATTCACATCATTATTTTCATAATTTAAATTCCCGTTAAAATCATTATTGTTGTGATTTTGGTCTTCATCAATATTATTTTCGTCTTCATTATAAGGCTTTGCAGTTTTTCGAAAAACAAATTATTTTCTTCCCTGTTGAATGCAGTTATCCTATTGAGACTTGTAGCAATTGTTGGGTTTCTTCTCATGAAATCATATAACCAGTCCTTTCCCGCCAGTTGAGTATTTTTATTAAAATTGTTTTATTTTTTTCGGCATATTCGTAGACGAATTTTCGAAGTTCCTTTACTGTTAATCCATAAGAAAGTTTGGGACAATAATTTTAGGTTCCTGTTCACGTGAAAAAATGGTTGGACAGCCCATTCTTGGACCATCTATTGCAGCTCCCGCCTTTCTTATTCTTGTTTGCATATAGAATTTTTCCTCCATCCTCAATGAACGTCAAGGCTTCCCTTAAATCTCCCGCACTCCACTGCGCCTTTTCCGTAATTTCTTGGCATTTCTCTAAAAATATTAATTAAATTACAAGTAAATAAATTTACATTAGGGTAATCACGACCACCAGTGAATAAAATGTCATAAGGGTAATCACGACCAGTGGTCGTCATTTCCCAACAAGTTTGATCGCAATTGCCCGAAGTTTCAAAAAATTTAGGTTTGAGATAGGGATAGAACGATACCGATATTGATATCGGTATATCGGCATATCGGCAATTGTTTCCGATTATCGGTATCGTATCGTATCGGCAAAAAAAAATTGCGCTTTTCACTCTTCAGTGCATAAATGAAATACTTTATTAAACAAAATAAAAAAATTTATTCTAAAGGTAACATTTTTACTAAAAAAGTAAAACAAATCCTAACACCACTTGCAACAAATATACCTAATGTAGCAGGTACTAAATACAGTATATCACAGGTCTGTGCAGTATATGTATACTTAATACTTAAAATTTAATTTCTTGATATTATGATGCAAAAACACCAACATTTCAGCCCTATCTGCATTTAGTCTATTTCTTTTAGGCTCGTAAATATTACCTGTTTTATTTAAATGTATCTATTCGTTTTAATACACACTGTATAAGGGGCTTCCCAGATACCCGAAATGTCACTCACTACCAATCACAAACGTTTCCTCGCAACGGAATTAAAACGGGACTTCCCCGATTTTTGCTTCGGTCGTGTATAAATAGATGGCATTATGTTTGCCGATACGATATATCGGTATATCGGCACGTAAATATCGGTATCGGCCGATATATCGTATCGGCAAAAAAAAAGTGATATCGTTCTATCCCTAGTTTGAGATTAGATAAAACATTGTACATAAATATCACCTTACTATAAAACTTTTGATGATCGGTATAATAACCAGCGGGTAATAATTGCCCGCTGGTCGTCATTCCCACACTTTACCCTACTCAGTGAGTACTTACTACTCACATACCGATAACCGCAGATAACGTAAAAACCTCTTTGAATTAATTTTTGTGTTCCCTTCCCACTAAAGCCTGTGGCGAGCGAAAGAAATTTAGAAACAGCCAATTAATTAATCTAATAGTACATAAGTACTCTTATGCTATTATGGTTTCACCCAAGGTCGCCCAAGGTATATTGTGTTTAGTGAACTTGCGCGTGATCGGGAACTTCAAAAGCATTGCTTGAATTTAAGAATTGTAAACAATACATGCGTGTGACAGCTAATTATCAACAGTTTTAATTTTGGTACGATGATAACAGCCGAGTGGTGGCGCTACTATCGATACTTCTTTAGCGTATGTACATACGCTATGTTTATATAATTCTGGCAGTTAAATGAAAAATGTCAAAGTATTTAAAATTAAGGGCTTAAACAGGAGTAACCATTTTATAGTTATTTACGTGTCAAATTAATCTTTACGCCGTAAAGTTTACGGGCGAGCTGGAAGTTTAATCCAGTGAGCCTAGTAAAGATTAATTGCAAAGCATGACACTTACAAACTTCTATTTTCACCTTTAGATAACGATTTTCAAATTTAATATTTTAATTAATATGTCAAATGTCATTTCATTTCATAAATTGCTTTTTTCTACGACCACTACGTAAAAGTCGCATCGTTGCTTAGAAAATGAATATTTTCATTGGCAAGGAAAAACTCGAATGTAAAATGACATTTCTGTGTAAAAAGTGACAGGTCTTTGAGAAAAAAATTTACAGCATCGTTTGACATTCAGACGTACAACAGCTCGATTTCTTCGAATTTTCGTGATTTCATTTCAATATCATTTAGAACACAATTGATTGTGTTTGTATAATACATTTTAATGTTTAGTGCCTTTATTAAAATTGAGAAGGTAAGTTTATTGATTTTAAGTAACTTAAAAATTAAAATAATAAGATAAAAGTAATTTTAACAGCTGCCAAACACATTTTTAGGTTAGTTTGTTTTGTAGTTGAAAATAATAGAAAATAAATGGATCGTAGAAAAAACATTGTGTTTTACTTGTGAACAAAGCATTCTTCCAGTTCGTGTTAATGCACACTCAGCCTAAGGGCCTCGTGAGCAACTTAAACACTCGCATGAAAAAGTCGCTTTTCAACACTTGTAAAACAAAAAACTATTCTACAAGTCTGTAAAACTTTACAGGTCTTTTATACAAGCCCGTAAAATATTACCTACAGGTCTGTTCCCATAATGTATCGTTTACTTGGATACAAAAACAACAAAATTAACCTATAAAATGTAATTTACTAATGGCCACTTGCACCGTTTTCTTTAACTGATCAGTTAAATAAACTGACAAGTTAAAAGGTAACAGAAGATTAGTGTCCAAAATCTTGCACCGTGATTTTTTTTACTATGGTTTAAAATTTAACTAGTGATCTAGGGAATTTGACTAAAAAATGGAAAAGATTGGTGCTAATAACTAACTTCACACCGAGCTTCACACTTATTTGTGACGCAAATATATTTTGACGTTAAGAGTTCGATTCTTTATAATCTGTGGTTCGATTCTTTATCATCTCTGCTTCGATTCTATTTCATGTACGACCGATTCAGTTGATGGTAAGAGATTAATATGGATACAGAACCTGAAAAAAAGGGGGCGCTCCTCAAGTTTTTCAGAAAATGAAAAAAATCATTTAATTAATATTGTGGATACAAGGGTATCATTGAACAAAGAGACAGATAGGGCTAAAATAATTAGAGCAGGAAATTAACAATAAAAAGGATTAAAAAGAAATGACTCTTTCGGATTTAAAAATTTTAGAAGAAAAAGAAAAACTTAATAGTGACTAAAAGTGACTATTTATTTTATTTTAATTTTAAATAAGTATAAATTAAATAAAACATCAAAAATATTATTCACATTAAATTTTATAAATTCGCAAAATAATCTTGTATTTATTTATTGATTTTGAAACATAATGCTATCTTGTGGATGAGTAACAACAGGGAACTCCAGTTCATGGCATTATTATCATCAGGCAATGGCGGCTCTGGTTTATTCATGTCTCTAGCAATATTATGTAGTAAAGCTGCAGCTGGAATAATGGAAAAAACTGTATCTATAGTTTTAATCTCAAGCCATATGCATATATTTCTTGTTCTTAGTAGTGACTTATTATAGAGTTGCTGACCTCTATATCTATAACCAGTGGCGTATTTAGGATTTAGCTCCGGGGGGGGTCCAAAAAAACTAACTAAATATGTATACATATTTAGTTAGTTTTTTTGGACCCCCCCCGGAGCTAAATCCTAAATACTATACTATGCTATGCTTTAATAACTAAAAAATCACAAATTAGGAACTCTTCTGATCCGATAAAATAGTAAATAAAATGAACTTTTTTTTTGGACCCCCCCCCGGAGCTAAATCCTAAATACTATACTATGCTATGCTTTAATAACTAAAAAATCACAAATTAGGAACTCTTCTGATCCGATAAAATAGTAAATAAAAGGAAATTTTTGTAATAAAAATAATAAAATATGTTCGCCCGGGGGGGGTCCGGACCCGGCGGACCCCCCCCTAAATACGCCACTGTCTATAACTATAGTTATTGGATTTGCTAAAGATGTTAATAAATAATATCTTTGGAAAAAAAGGATCTTGAATACCGATGACTAGTACTTTTAAGGTTATAAATCGTTAACGGTGGATTAAAGTAATTTAAACCACCTAAATTGGGGGTTTATTTTAACAGTAGTTTAGAGGTATTTAAACAAGGATTAATTTACGGTGCAAGCCAGTTATGAAAAATAAACCGGTGTTAAAAATTAAACCACTGTTAAACTTACGGTGCAAGTGGCCATAAGAAGGTGAAAATAAAATATTAAAAATAACAAAGTTGGTATACCTATTAACATACAAAACCAACATAATCGAACTTTACACATTAGTAGTTGTTCGGCCGGATAGCGAATATCCGGAAAGATTTGAAGAATACCGGGTAGATTAGCGAATGGCAGTTTTGGTATTAACCAAATGTTTAATTACTGGAAAATAAAAACAGATTTCAAAGATAACGCAATAGGAAATTTTTGATAGAATAGAAGACAAATTGTAAAATTATTTAAAAAAATATTTTTCCAGTGGCTTATTATATTTTTCTTTATAAGACCCTACGATATATCCGTCTGTACTTAGTCACATACAAAGTCATTTTTTTATAAAGCAATTGCTATTTTGTTATCTTATCTTTTAGTGTTTAAAAGTTACCTATTAAACAGAAACTACTTTTTTGTATTTTTTTTAACTTCCAAACAAAAACATCTAGAGCAAAGCATAAGAAGAAAGTATTATTTTTTAGTAAGGAATCATTTAATTTTTTTCAACCTTAATATTACAACTGTAGTTTATTACCATACAGAAAGATTAATTTTACACTACGCGTATTCATAGACCACTAGGACTACTCAGTTATACGCCTGAAAAAAAAAATGATAATGTTTTCAATAGATTTAAAGTAACTTATTAAAATTTTCACAATTATAATTAAAATTTTCACAATTATAATTAAAATTTTCACAATTATAATTATAAATATATTTTTTAATGTGTTCACAAATCAAATTATTTGCTGATTTTTAAAATACACAGACCAGTTAGTTTTTTTACTCGGTTGTTTATTCGCAATTATTACTGTTAGCATAGGTAAGATCACAATGTGTGGATTGTACATTTTTTTAGAAACTCATAACCTAACCTATAATGACACGTGATATATCAAATATGTCAAAATTTTATTTTACCGCGTGTCTACTGTCATTAGATGACCTATAGCCCCTCGAATTGTGTTGCCCTTCAAATTACCAAGTGCCTTTTTCCATTTCAGATATTTTGTTCGGTGCGTCGCAAGTTTTTCAAAACGATGAAGCGATAGTCGTGCGAAAAGATGAGCGGCGTCGTGGGAGCGACAATTGCAGGGCCGCAGCCCAACGTGGCCCGGCAAAAATCGTCCCTTTGCAGGGATGCCGTGCCTTCGGTGCACGGACGGTCCTGTGCCAATTTGCATCAAAGAACTAGACTAAGCAATCACCAAAGGAACCTCAGTTTGGATTTTAGGTGAGTAAATGTTTTTTAACCCGTACTGGTACTATCTTATTTTAGTAACGCTTATGATATAACCGGTTAAATTGACCGGAGCCCATAAATCCTATTTTTACTATACATTTTAACGAAAATGATGTTTTTATACTCGCGTGCGTAAAGAATTACTCCGCACGCAAATGCGTTAATACAGGAATAGGTTTATTAAATCATGAAGCCTTTACTAATAGTATTTTTACTTCAAAACAAAAAATATTGCTAAAATAATTTAATATAAAAATATAAGTACCAACATTCCGCACGCTTGTAGATTTTTTTTTTAAATTAAAAATAAAAACAGAAAGAAAATTGCGAGACTCCCTTGCTTGTAGCAAAAATATTGTTCCTAACACATGCGCAAACTAATTTGTCCGCACTTACTGCTTGCCTCAGGGCTGGATGCTCCCGTGTACGAGTTTTGGTTCGTCCCGCGCATGACGTCACTTGATGAGTAGTTGCCGTGAGAATACACGAATAATAGTAATATTATCAAAGAAAATAGAGAAATATCTGGACATAGTGCGTTTTTATTAAACTTAATATTGAAGAAAGTGTTATAATATGGATGATAGATGCTTTCAGTCCTTGATAACATTTAGGGCTGTAGTTTAAGCGTTGGTGTTTTAAATTAAACTTATAGTCACTGTCCAGAAAATATTTATAGGAAACAAAAGCGGTCTTAACGTTAATATTGTCTATTATTTTTGTGGTACTTAAACACTGTTTCCACAAATCAAACTTTCGGGAATCAATTAAATTTAATGTTTTTATTTAAAGGGTTTTTCTTGGACTGGTTGTCCGAATTGCATCCAAATATGCCACACCGCATGCATTTTAATAAATTTAATGCATTTTAATAAATGCAAATGGCACGACACAAACTAAAACACAAACAAAACAAGTTAACGCAACACAAAAACAATAATAAACAAACAGAACAGGTTAACACAACGCAATAACAATAATTTGAATACTGAAAAGTATACTTTATAATGCTAACCTTACCGAACACAAAAACAAGTTAAACAAAAAATAGAGCAAGTTAACATCCAACAGCATCGCAAAAACAAGAATTTTAGCAGCAGATAATTAAAAAGCACGTTAGAGATTTAAAAACACTAATCAAGTGACGTATTTAAGCCCCGCCCAACATGCGCACCATCCCATCTTAAGGTGTATGTATCTTGACTTGCCCGAACTCTGCTTTGCGTCGTTCGTGCAGTATCAGTAGCGTGCGGAAAAATATAACTGCGCACTTGTTTGGGAAGTAACTATTATGAATTGTCAATAAAATGCTTAGCAACCTATATTTATAATTTACGCTTGTCTCCCAAACCTAAAGCCCGCATTATAATATTATAGTCTGCATTTATTCTTGCACCAATCTTTTTTGTGTGAGTTTTATCGCGGACTCTAATACACTTTGCCAATGGACAAAAATATAAAATGTTATAAAATACCTATTATAAAGCAGAATTAAATAAATATTAAATTTACCTCTGACTACACGACATTATTATTATAGTTATTAAGTAACAGAATTTAGAATACGAAAAAACAATACACAGGTTTTTTCGTAATTTGATACATTTGATATGTTCGTACTGTATCAATATACTTTTTTTAATATTTAAAATAGGTAAATCTGTTGAATGCCTTAATTTTACTTTGACATTTATCATTTAATTGTTAGAATTAAAATAAACAATGCTAAAGATAACAGAAAATTTTAAACGACTATTTCCCTCGTCTTAATTTCCACCAATCAAAAACGCGCAATTTTGAATTACAAATGGTTTCTAGGTGAAAAAACTGTGTGACAGCACCTGTCAGCAGTTTATTCAAGTTTACCCGCGGCAAAACTTGACAGCTGTTGTCACCAAAAATTGCAATTTATATTTCAATTGTTAACTGTTACTCATGAAATAGTCTTGTCAAATACCATTCGGGCATCTAATTTTTCCTGTGAAAAAAATCGAAAAAACACAATTTTTTTTTTTTTTTTTTTTTCTTTGGCCGGCGGAGAAATTCTTTACGAACACTCGGTTCCTCTTGGGGCCCCGAGTAGTGTGGGACTCCGTCTATTGACGTATACCCACTAAAACTCCCCCGTTAGGTGGTTCAAAGCCCTGCACTGCGGTTTGCTTTCGCAATCCTATTGTGCCCTAAATGGTATTACTTCCATAGCTCTAGCTCCGTTGCTTCTATGAAGCGCAGTAGCCGAGGCAGTGGAAGCAATTTTAAAAGTTCTGGTGTGAGTTTAGACTCTCCCAGGTGTGTTCTTCTTAAGGTGTTGAATCCCTCACATTGACACATAATGTGAAGAGGTGTTTCCTCTTCTTCTTCGCATCCTCTACACAAGGGGTCATCTGTCATCCCCAAAAAAAAAACACAATGCTAAGTAATATTTTTTAACAAAATGCATTTGTGCAGGTGCAAAAATCCTCCTCTTCGACTCGGATTTTTGTTGCCACCAGCACGCATGCTTTTTGTTAAAATATTACTTAGCAACGTGTTTTTTCGATTCTTTTCGGAAAAATTAAATGCCCTTATGATATTACTGACGAAAAGAAATTAAAAACAAAACAGCATTTTGTTGAAATAATTAATTTGTGCTGCATAAATCCAAAATCCACTAAATTATTTGTTTTGCTTAATGTAGCCAATTGCAAATTTAGGGTCCCTAGAATTTGCCAACTAAACCCAAATTTTTGATGTCAAATAACGAATAAAACAAACGAACCAGCGCCTGTAGGAAATTTAATGTGTGGATTGGTACCTATACAAAAATTTAACAAATTGTCCCCCAGACTTGCATGCAACTGGCAATAAAAATCGAGCAGGACCGATATTTTAAAACGACAACAGAAGTATTGCACGTAAAATTGCAGACTTGAATCGAGATTAGACATAAGTTCGATATGTCCTAGATTTCTTTAACCCGTGGTCAAAATGCTGTTTTTCTTACGGGCTAAAGTTAAAATTGTAAAAAGTGAGGTTAAAAATGCTTGACAGTAAATGTCAAGCAGTGACAACTTTTGTAAAATAAAATATCAAATAAAATTGCCTTTAAATTTCTTGAGGAAGTTAAACAAAATATTGTTTGCTGCTATTGGTCATAAAAGGAGATTCGACTCTTGTAGCAGTTAATCAATTACTACAATTACCACTGCTTTTTTATTTTTATTTTCTGTCAAAAATACTCTATTTTTAAAAAAAGTTTACCATTATAAATAAATCCATATTTCATTACTTTCACACAATATATTTTGTTTGAATTGAGAATGTGGCAACAATGGACTGAGATGCAGTATCAATGCACATGACTGAACGACCCTCTCTAAAGCCGGGTCTACAATTGTCGCAGGGGTCCGACCGCAGAACATAAGCTTGCGCACAGCACCCCGCGATGTGGCGATGGAGCAAGGTTCTTTTGTCAGCTGGGTGCTTTGCGCAAGCTTATGTTCTGCGATCTGCGACAATTGTAGACCCGGCTTAATGCCAAGTCTGCCTAGACACCTGCGCCTGCCCTGCCACCAGTGTTGGTAAAAAAATTTTGTCAACTATGATTTTTTGACGAAAAAATGACCATATTATAAATAATTTTACGTAATTTTATATGTAGGTTTTTGTAATAGTTCAGTTATAAATTTTAAATAAATGCTAAATAAGCACTACAATTACTTTTGCACGGGGCACTGAAATGTTTGGAGCCGGCCCTGTTTACTACCACCGCTAAACTAAACAAACAGCAACATAGTATGTTAAACATAATATCTCCACCAGGGGCGTGCTGGCTATATCAGACCGGCCCGGGAAATTCAGAAAAATCGGCCAACTACACACGAAAAATGGGGGGTGAACAAAACCAAGTTAAAAAATTTATTAATATATTAATAATTAATAACATAAAGTATAAATTAAATTCTTGAAAAAAAAACAGGCAACAAACACAACCAGACAATATTTTACATAATGCTAAAACATATAGCATTGCACTTAAAATAAAAACTAATACAAATTATCATCGCTCAGGAAACTTATAAACAATATACAAGATTTTTTTACATAATACTTTTTTTTACAAAAAGTGCTATCAACTAATTGCATTGTTGCAATTTTATTCTTTGATTTTATTTCTTAGATCACTGAGATATCACTTTTGCAATAATGCAGTATGTTTTATTAATTTTAAGAATAAAAATGGCGTACTTTTTAATGATATTTATTGTTTAATTTTTTATTTAAATTTAAATTCAGTTTATTTTATTTAAATACAATTTTTTATTGAAACTTAAATTGATTAATGAATAGTATAGAAGAAAACCAATGAAAGTTTCTCGTGGCACAATAATTTTCTAATTTTACACCATTATAAAAGTCTTCACACGCTGTTTTATATTGCATTCCTAATATTAATTTATCAATAAAATATTTATCAAAATAAACATGTTTTGAATTTTTTATACCTTATAAAGTTTAATTTCCAATATTGCTTATAAAATTTAGTATTTATAAATAATCATTTATAATTTTATTAAACGTGTATGATTTTTGTATTCCTTATCGAAAGGTTATTAGCCACGGAAAGGAGGCAAAACGGTTCTTTTATCATAAAACATTTTGAATACTAATTCCAAACATACACAGCATATGTTTGCTTTTTTACAACGGAATATACAATTATGGAAACTTTTAGAAACCACTTAAAAATTAAAAGTAAAAGTTATTTATATGGTTTACATTGTTTAAATCTTTCTATTTTATTAATTAAGCGGTGAAAATAAAAGTTGTATACTTTATTCTCGGTCTGTATATGTAAATTATTATAACAGTTTGAAGGTTACAATGCCATATAACGAATACCAAACCCAAAACTACAAGTATTTGATTTCAACACTTGTGCCATGTGCAAAAGTTTTTTAAATGTACATTCTAAAATTAGAGCATTATTCGCACACTTACAAGTACTGAAA